ATGGTGAACTGTATACGCACTCAGGTATTCCTCTCTTGTCGTTGTTGTGGTGGTGGTGGACAGTTTGACGTCACAACAACCACCACTCTCCAACCTGTCCTGGTGTTGTGCTTGAACATGTGAGTGATGAGGTATATATGTGGGTTGACTCTCAGGTGTGTGTGTGTGTGTGTGTGTGTGTGTGTGTGTGTGTGTGTGTTGTGTTGTGTTACCGGGTTGATGCGGCAGGTGGTGGGAGTTGTGGTTGATGAGGTCCACCCACCTGGTTCTTTCCTTCTTCCTTCGTTCCTTCCTTTCTTTTCTATCCATCCTCTCCATCCATCCATCCATCCATCCATCCATCCATCCATCCATCCATCCATCCATCCATCCATCCATCCATCTTCCCTTTCTTCCCCTCCCATGGGTTTTGATTATTGTGGTTTATCCATTCTTCCTGTTGCTCTCTCTCTCTCTCTCTCCTCTCTCTCTCTCTCTCTCATATATTTTAAAGCAACTGTGAAAATAAAGTCAATGCAGGTTTAAAATAGTATACAGTCAATTAATTAATCAACGACCCACGAAAATGAGAGAGAGAGAGAGAGAGAGAGAGAGAGATTGGTGGGAAGGAAGACCAAAAATAGACCTTAATTTGTTACACATTTTATCTAAGTGACGTAAATGAGTTTGGTTGGGGGGAAGGACGTTGTTTTTTTTGTTTTTTTATTTATTAAGGTCTTTCCTGTCTCACCACACACACATACACACACACACACACACACACACCTGTCACATGTCAGCTCCACACACCTGAGTCTGATCATTACCACCTGTACAGTTTACTTCCTTTAGATAATTAATACGTACAGGTGGAGATGTATTAAGGAAGTGGCTGATTGTTTGAGAGGAAGGTGTTACTTACCTGTGAGTTATGAGAAGTAGTGATGGTGAAGAATAATGATGCCGTTATCCGCCTGGTAGATGATATGACTGATAGGTGGTTTTGTAAATAAGTGATGATGATGGTTGTTGTAATAGTGATGATGAGATATAATGGTTATAGTAATAGTGGTGATGATGATGTTTGATGATGTTGAGGTGTATGAATTTTGATGTTGAACGATGATATGGGCTTATGATGATGATGATGATGATGTTTTAGCAAAATGCAACAAAAGTGAGGGCATTTAACAGGCTGGGGAGTGTGTAGGGAGGGGCAGAAAGGCGGAGGCTGGGGTGTGTAAAAGAAGAGGGCAGAGAGAGCAGGCTGGGTGTGTAAAAAAGAGAGGGGCAGAAAGGCAGGCTGGGAGATTATTAGCAAGGGGCAGAGGCAGGCTGGGGAGGTGTGTAAAAAGAGAGGGCAGAAGGCAGGCTGGGGTCATGTAAAGAGGGGCAGAAGGCAGGCTGCAGGGTGTGTAAGAGGGGGCAGAAAGGCAGGCTGGGGTGTGTGAAGGGGCAGAAGGCGGAGGCTGGGAGATTGTGTAAAAGAGAGAGGGGCAGAAGGCAGGCTGGGGGTGTGTAAAAGAGGGGCAGAAGGCAGGCTGGGGAGATTGTAAAAAAAGGGGCAGAGAGCAGGCTGGGGTGTGTAAAGAAAGTGAAAGGCAGGCTGGGGTGTGTAAGAGGGCCAGAAAGGCAGGCTGGGGTGTGTAAAGAGGGACAGAAAGGCAGGCTGGGGTGTGTAAGGGGCAGAGGCAGGCTGGGGTGTGTGTAAGAGGGGCAGAAGGCAGGCTGGGGTGTGTAAAGAGGGGCAGAAGGCAGGCTGGGGTGTGTAGGGAGGGGCAGAAGGCAGGCTGGGGTGTGTAGGGAGGGGCAGAAGGCAGTCTGGAGTGTGAGCGGAGGGGCTGCGGCACTCATAGGATTCCTGGTGGCTCAGTCCCCCGCTCATAATTAATCTCCGGCTGGGGGGAGGGGGGGGAGGAGGGATTTCAGACCCATTTAGGTTAAAGGGAATGTGGTGATAGGCGGGAGGGTGGCTCGTGTCGCCCTCCTCACCACCACCACCACCGCTCCTACCACACACAACTGCCTCTTACACTTGTCTCTGATGCTGCTGTTTCTCGTCATCTGTTTACAGGTGTCGAGAGCGTAAACAAGAATGATATTGATGAGCTTATGTGTGTGTGTGTGTGAGAGATTTATTTCACACTTGTTAAAAGATTAGTGTCTGTAAATAGGAATACACATGTAGTTCCGCTGTTGCTGCTGGTACAGACACAGCTGCCTCCTGCATCTGTCTCTCCTTCATATTACCGACTGCTGTACAGGTGTGAAAGGTGCCAGAATATATGTGTTTGGACTTACGATTCATTTCACGGCCGTTGACGAGATAGTTGACACGGGAACACACACGGAATGTTCTGTTTTTTTGCCTTGTTTTATTATTATTATTTTATGGGAGTATCGAGGACCTGCCTGAGTGGGAATGAGTCAACTGGCCTTCACCACCTCCTCCTCCTGACGCTGCCTCCTCCTCCTGGATATTGCGAATTAACATGCATATCCGGACGTGTTTGTGTACCAGACTTTATTACACTCTGTTTTGTTTCTCTTGGGGAGGGAGGGTGAGAGAGAGAGGTGTGATGGAGGAGAGAGATGCTGGAAGTAGGAGGGTGAGATGTGGTGGTAGAGGCATCAGGTTTAATGTTTATTAATGATTGAGGTGGACAGGTAAAATTGGGTGTGTGTGTGTGTGTGTGTGTGTGTGTGTGTGTGTGTGTGTGTGTGTGTGTGTGTGTGTGTGTGTGTGTGTGTGTGTGTGTGTGTGTGTGTGTGTCCCCCCACCTTGTTAGCGCTGCGTGTGCACAGCACACAGCCTCACTCCGCCACCGTGCTGTTAAAGGGGCGTGGGAACAGCCACCACACAGACCATCATGCCCTCCCCTCACCTCGGCCTTCCCCCCAGCCTTCCCCCCAACCTCCCCATCACCCTCCCTCACCTTTTCCCTTGTCTTCAGTGTTATAGTAATGCTGTTTATCCCTCAACTTTTACATAAACGGGCTAAAGAAAAAAACGAAAAAAAAAGTACATTTACACAACACTAAAATACACCCAGTCAAGCCTTTTTTTTCCAACTTCATATTTATATATATTTTTTGTTTAACTATTCCAACAATGGGGATTCATAAACACACACACACACACACACACACACACACACACACACACACACACACACACACACACACACACACACACACACTGTCTCTCTGTAGTGTTTAACAGATTCTAATATAACAGTGTTGGCCAAAATCCCTTCACTGCTATGTAACCCCTCCCCCACCACCCCTCCCTCTTTCACCACCATCCCCTCACCCCCACCCCCCCCCTACATCACTGGGTATATGGAGTTTGTCTGTGTTGGTTGGTGTGTGTTTTGATCCCTTTAAGTACAATGATATAGGATGCGATGGCTTAACCCTCCTTGAGTCTGATGATTTAACTCCTCCTTGAGTATGATGGTTTAGCCTCCTTGGGTATGATGGTTTAATCCTTTAAGTATGATGATTTAACTCCTTTAGTATGATGATTTAACCCTTTGAGTATGATGGTTTATAACTCCCTTGAGTATGATGTTTTAACCCTTTGAATATGATGACCTGTTCACCTTGATACGATAATATTGGACTCAGGGATTTAAGTCATCGTACTCATTGGATTAATATTTTGTTCTTAAAGGTTTTAAGTCATTGTACTCCAGGGTTAATATTTCATACTCAAAATGTTAACTCATCGTACTTTAGAAAGTTGACACCTCGTACTCAGGGGTTAATATATCGTACTCAAGCGGTAATCTGGCACTCAAGGGGTTAAAACATCCCAAGAAAACTTTCCTCTTTACAGCTTCTTGAATTGTCATGCCAGTAGGATTAATTTTCTTTTTATGAGGAAGGAACGCTGTGTGTGTGTGTGTGTGTGTGTGTGTGTGTGTGTGTGTGTGTGTGTGTGTGTGTGTTCTGGGGGTAAAGGGACCCATAAATAACAGGGTATATCGGTTAAAGTCATTTTTAACACGTGTATTAGTGTTGGCGCGAGACCCGGGTGCATTGTAAACAGTTTACTCTTGAGTGAGGCGGGTGGGTTAATTTAGGGAGTGGGGGGGTCATAGCGGACTTGTATTTGCTGAGGAGTTAAGACACACACACACACACATACACACACATACATACACACACATACATACATACATACATACATACATATCGTACTTCACCTTAAGTTAACAGACACACACACAGACGTCTTATTCAACCTTAATTTAACACAACACATTTGAACTCAATGTTAAGTTACCACAACACATCTTAACACAACACATCTTAACACAACACATCTTAACACAACTCGTCGTACTCAACATTAACATTAACTCGTCTTATTCAACATTAACTTAACTCGTCTTACTCAACATTAACTTAACTCGTCTTACTCAACATTAACATTAACTCGTCTTACTCAACATTAACATTAACTCGTCTTATTCAACATTAACATTAACTCGTCTTACTCAACATTAACATTAACTCGTCTTACTCAACATTAACATTAACTCGTCTTACTCAACATTAACTTAACTCGTCTTACTCAACATTAACATTAACTCGTCTTACTCAACATTAACATTAACTCGTCTTACTCAACATTAACATTAACTCGTCTTACTCAACATTAACATTAACTCGTCTTTCTCAACATTAACTTAACTCGTCTTACTCAACATTAACATTAACTCGTCTTACTCAACATTAACATTAACTCGTCTTACTCAAGTGTAAGTTAAAAGTTCTCCCTCTTCCTCACACACCCGTCATCTTCCCTCAACTTTTAAGACGCTTGTTAAAGAATCTAGTTTTTCTTTCTTGTCGGGCGGTTTTAACTCGTCCACCCACAGCATCCCAGCTCTTACAACTCTCTCTCTCTCTCTCTCTCTCTCTCTCTCTCTACACGTATAATTTACCTACGAGTTTTTAATGATCTTGTCTCTTTGATATGATAATTATGTTTGTTTTTTTCTCTCTTGCAGGTAAGGAGGTGTTGAGGCTGTCTATGTCTCTCTCTGTCGGACGCGGAGAAGGGCCCGAGGTATGTTAGGAACAGAGTAATGTTTTGGTGTGTGTGTGTGTGTGTGTGTGTGTGTGTGTGTGTGTGTGTGTGTGTGTGTGTGTGTGTGTGTGTGTGTGTGTGTGTGTGTGTGTGTGTGTGTGTGTGTGTGTGTGTGTGTGTCTGTCTCTCTCACACACACACCCCGGTACGTCTACAGGAGAGGAGTACAATACAGTATCTTTTATTGGGTGCGGGAGAGAGGGATCCACTTGACGGGCTGAGCTGCATGATAAACAGGAAGCTCTTGGGGCGATGAATGAATGAACGAGGCCTGGCAACCATACACACTTGATGGAATGACTGCCAACACATCTGTGGATATCCCCCCTCCTTCTCCTCCTCCCTCCTTGTAGTACATGTTCTATGGCTCCCCCTTCCTTCTTTCCACTTTTATCATTTTGCCTATTTCCTTTTCTTTCCCCTTTCCCCTTCTCTCCTCTCCCCCTTGCCATCTTCCATCCCCTTTCCTTCTCCTTCTTGGGCAAATCTGAGATCTGAATCTGTTCCCTTTTCCTCCTCTTCCTCTCCTACCTCTTCCCTCCTCCCTCTACTCCCTCCTCCCCTCCCTCCCCTCTCCCCTCCAGTCCTCCTCCTCCAGTCCTCCTCCTCCTCCCCTCGTCGTCCTCCTTTCGGGCCCCAGGTGGCAGGAGGCGACTATTATGGAGGTGGGTCATCCCTGAACACCTGAGAGACTACACACTCCTTGATCACCCTCACCCAGGCGCCTCAGGTCTGGTGACGGAGGAGGTAGTGGTGGAGAAGGAAGAATAGGAGGTGGAGGAGTAGGAGCTGGTGGAGGAGGAAGAACAGGAAAAGGTGGAGGAGGAAGAATAGGAGGAGGTGGTGCAGAAGAAGTAGGAACAGGAGCAGGAAGTAGTGGAGAAGGTAGAAGCAACAAGAGAAGAAAGTGGAGGAGGAGGAACAAGAGAAGGTGGAGAACGAAGAACAGAGGATGGAGGAAGAGGAGAAGATGAAAGAGGAAGAGGAGTAGGAAGAGGAGAAACAGGTTCTCATCACCAACCGCCCAACACCGAATTACTGCATTTTCTCCCAGCAGGTGAACCACAACGGCAAAAAAAAAAAAGCGGTTATATTTGACTCAGTGTTGATCAGGTACACACACACACACACACACACAATCAGCCTTAGGTACGATATGGCTCTTAAAATCCACATCCAAGAGTTAGCATCGAAGAGTCTTTGTGGTGTTAGATACGTTGGGGGTGAGGGAGAACGCAGGGTCTTTTAAAAGTTAGGTCTTGTGGACTTCTTAACTTATTGATGTAACTTTGGGGTGGCGAAGGTTCATAACTTTAACCCATAAGTTAGCTGGGAGAGTTTCATAATTTTCAACACAGAAGCCAACCAACCAACCACCCCCTCTCTCTCCCTTCTCCCTAGGGAAAAAAAAACTATGACCGATAACCTAGTAGTTAGGATTGTGTCTTGAGGCAGATATATATATATATATTTTTTTTTTTTGAAATTACGACTCGGGTAATTGGTTCTAATCGTGGAGGGTGAGTCTGAAGGGTGACTTGTAGTTGGGCGTATCCGTGTCTGAGCACCCCCTTCCTCCTCCTCCTCCCCGTCCCGTACTGCACCAATATCTACGAGGAAGATTATTATTAATGTAGTTGTCGGTTACTGGTTCGGTGTTGACGCTGGCAGGAGGAAGAGTTAAGGGTGTGTGTGTGTGTGTACGGTTGTCTGGCCACACGGGGATGAGAAGATAATAATGTTCCTCAGTGTGTTGTGACTCGAGGGACTGGCTGAAGGGACCGTGGCTCTCGATTGACACTTGTACAACTGTTACTGACACGTGTCTTTAATACATGTGGGATTTGACACATAGGTTCATGTAGATTGACACCTGTGCAGCAGGAAGTAGACGCGTGTATGACTAATGAACTAACACTTGTGGAACTGGCACTTAACATGTTCACTTAGAATATGACTTGTATGTGATGTGTGTGTACAGTATATTACAGATACTTACACGCTGACACTTGCGTCTCTTAGAGGGCATGTTACTAGGTATTGTCCAACACCTGCGACCAGAACCAGGTGTTCGACGCACCTGTATGTGTGTATGTTCTACGCCATACTTGTGATTCAAGCACGAGCCAGTTTCACACACACACACACACACACACACACACACACACACACACACACCAAAGTAATAATAATAACGCCCCAAACTGTGAGCCTTTGTTGTCATAATAGCGGGAGTGTGCAGCGCCTCCCACCCCTCACCTGTAAAACTGTACATGTTTGTGGCGGTGTATAGTTTGTTATTACTCTCTCTCTCTCTCTCTCTCTCTCTCTCTCTCTCTCTCTCTCTCTCTCTCTCTCTCTCTCTCTCTCTCGTGTCTTCATTAGTTTGTCTCGGCTGAAATTATTGTATTATGTGTTGTCTGAGGAAAGAGGAGTGTGTTGTTTGTGTAGTCTGAGCTGAGGAGACGAGTGTTGCTCTCCATACACTGACGTAAACAAGTGCTACAAGGATATACCACCTCTCTCTGTTTGTCCACAAGTCCAACTGTCTTCGTGAGCCCGTCTTGTCTGTTCAGGATCCCCATCTGTTTGCTCATAAGTCCATCAGTCTTTATTAAGTCCATATGTGTGTTCGTAAGTCTGTTGTGTCATTCATCAACCATTTACCCTCTTGAGTCCTCCCAGACATTGATAACTAAATTAACCACGAAAACCAATTATGTTCTGAATCTCTCTCCCCCTCCCCTCCCTTACTCCCGTCCCCTCTCTTCTCCCCTCCCCTCTCTTCTCCTCTCCTCCCTTCCTCTCTTCTTCTCCCCTCCCTTCCTCTCCCCTTCCTTCCTCTCCCCTCCCTTCCTCTCCCCTTCCTTCCTCTCCTCTCCCTTCCTCTCCTCTCCCTTCCTCCCCTCCCCTCTCTTCTCCTCTCCTCCCTTCCTCTCTTCTTCTCCCCTCCCTTCCTCTCCCCTTCCTTCCTCTCCCCTCCCTTCCTCTCCCCTTCCTTCCTCTCCTCTCCCTTCCTCTCCTCTCCCTTCCTCCCCTCCTGGTCCCTAGAATGCATCTCTCGAAGGTGAATTTAGGCAACAGTTCCCCAAATTTAGATGAACTGTTACTCAGGGATTTGTACGGCATTTTTGGTAGATTTTTTTTCTATTTTTTACTTTTATTGTTTAGTTTTCTCGTCCAGTTTCTGTGTTAGTGGGTAATGGGAGATCTTGAAGGTTATTGTAGGATTTTCTTGCTATGTATGTATGTATGTATGTATGTATGTATGTATGTATGTATGTATGAATGACTATAGTGTCGTTTATCTAACCTTACCTAACCAAAGTTTAGCTGTGATGCTGTGTCGAGCGCTGTATAAGTGTATCTCAGTTGACGTGGAGTTCAGGTAGTGTATATCAGTTGACGTGGAGCTCAGTAAGTGTATCTCAGTTGACGTGGAGTTCAGTAAGTGTATCTCAGTTGACGTGGAGCTCAGGTAGTGTATCTCAGTTGACGTGGAGCTCAGGTAGTGTATCTCATTTGATGTGGAGCTCAGTAAGTGTAACTCAGTTGACGTGGAGCTCAGGTAGTGTATCTCAGTTGACGTGGAGCTCAGGTAGTGTATCTCAGTTGACGTGGAGTTCAGTAAGTGTAACTCAGTTGACGTAGAGCTCAGGTAGTGTATCTCAGTTGACGTGGAGCTCAGGTAGTGTATCTCAGTTGACGTGGAGTTCAGTAAGTGTAACTCAGTTGACGTGGAGTTCAGGTAGTGTATCTCAGTTGACGTGGAGCTCAGGTAGTGTATCTCAGTTGACGTGGAGAGTTCACTAAACAAAATTCGCTAATTATGCTTATTGAGGTCCGTCGTCTAGCTGAGCCGATGTTAAGCTCACCTGACTGTGTAGGTGAGGTGTAGAGGCGCCACCGACGGACAAACAGACAATAAGCCGCCTGGGGAGTCTGGTGGAGTAAGCTGAAACAAATCAACCTAGATCCTGTTTCCCCTCTTCCCTCTCCCCTCACCCCGAGAGGAGAGCGAGGTATGTAGGCGTCGCGTTGCTATGGTGACGACGCCCAGACCAAGGTTGGTCCCCCTCGTCGCCTGGCAACGCGCCACGGATGCTGCAGTCATCTAGTGAGCTGGCCTCATCCCCCTCCCCCATATCCCCCTCCACTGTAGCACACACACACACACACACACACACACACACACACACACACATTACTGGAAGCTACATATAAACTGACATAATCTTGACACACTTTCCCGGGAGAAATTAATATAGAAACGTAAGAACAAATGATATAACCGTAGTGGGAAGTGTTGGCTGCCGGGCTTCATATCATATCATATCATCACGCTGTCAACACACGTCTGTGCCTGTACTATAAATTGTAATACTATACTTTAACCTGTCCTTGTGTGTGTGTGTGTGTGTGTGTGTGTGGCGATACAGTCATCGTGTGGGTATTACTGTACCTGTAGTTCCTTAGTATACAAAAAAAACATCAAACCCTTGAATTGTTAAGTTCCGACGGTGAGTCTCATGGTGGGTGGTGTTGATAGTTGATTGATTGATTGAAACAGTTTATTTAGCCAGAAAAACACAGATACAGAGTGGATAATAATAACAATATTAACATGGCTGATCCAGTTGAGAGTCTGAGCTCTCCTGTAGGCACCTGACATTTACTATACATTTATCTCAAGGAAGTATTATGTAACATTTAGTATCATCTGGAATAGTACAATAGCATGGTGGTAATAAGAACATCTCATAGTGTTACCGCGGTTATCACTTCAATATTTATTTATTATATTTATTCATTTATTTTTTTTTTTTACATTTATATTATAAGTATATACCTAAGTTACAGTGGAATTGAAAAACATAAGTATAATGAGGGAAGCAGTACAACATAGGTTGTACAGCATTCAAGTTGAACATTGCCAGAGTATTAAAGGAATGTAAGGAAGAGCTTAGTATGCCCTTAGCAAAGTTGTTTAACATGTCATTAAAAACAGGTGTAGTA